TCAAATTGTTGCCCATTAGGAGTTTTTACCACACATACACATGTTTCAAAACAGTACCTTTAACCGGGCGATTGTAAACTCTCCCGATGGTAAACTCTCCCGATGGTAAACTCTTCCGATGGTATACTCTCCCGGGTCTACTCCAGTACTACCTGACGGAAACGTGTAAACTCTCCCGGATTTATTCCTGTACTACCTAACGGAAACATGTAAATTCTCCCGGGTCTAGTAAAAATCATAAAATAAATTTAATATACATTTAAGTTGCGTTTAAAAATAGTCAATCATATATAATAATAATAAAAATATAAATTAATGTCTTTAGCTGCTATGAACATGATATAGTAAAAATACAATAAAAAATAAAATTTCAAAAAATCCAATATACATTTAAGTTTCCTTTAAAAATAGTCAATAATAATGATAATAATAATAATAATAATAATAATAATAATAATATAAGTTACAAAAACAAAATATACGTAAAAATGTTAAAATCATTGTTTTTGATAATAAGAACATACAGATAACTCGTAGTGTAGCAATAAAATTTAAAACAACTAGGGAGAGCTTACATACTTCCTACAGGTAACTATAAAGTTGACCCGGGAGAGTTTACACATTTACTTTAGGTAAACATAATATTAACCCGGGAAAGTTAACCATCGGGATAGTTTACTATTTTTAAAAATCGGGAGAGTTTACCATAAAATCGGGAGAGTTTATCATAAAATCGGGAGAGTTTACCACCGCTCTTTTAACTACAGTAAAAACCGAATACAGGCTAATAAGTAATAACCATTAATGTTGAAGTCTAAAATCTATAAAGTAAAAAAAATAATTAAAAACATATATTTAATGCAAAAAAAAAAAATTAATAAATACATAATTGTTTATAGACTTATTTATTTGTGATTTTATTTTTTAAGTTTTTTGCTATTTGTTAATTATTAGCATTACCTGGATCCACATTGATATTTTAGTGTATGTTGAGAATTACTATAACCATTTAACTTTTTTTAACTTTTAATAAATAGTATATTATGGAAGTATGTTTTATATAAACGCAATAAAGATTAAGATTTTTTTTTTAAAATTATTTTTATACTCGTATTTGTGACTAAAAAAATGATCTAAAAACTTGAAATTGTGTTACTATAACTTACACATACCTATATACATATTTAATCTTTGATATTATATAATATAATATAATAATGATCTTTCTGTTGTTCGAATTATAGATTGGGTATTCTACAATGGATTCGGTGTCGAACTTGAAATTAATTGATTTTGGTATTCTTAAAGACGATATCATGCTAATAAATACTGCCATGAATGTTTTAAAAATAATTATTATACCTATTTTATTAACAAAGTATAGTGGGAGCCAGAAACCGCTCAGTTTGATTATGAAATGTACGCCAATAAGGTACAAAAAAAGTATATTTATTTGAATTTTTTACACATGTAAAGTACTAACACACTTTATAATTATATTTCAAAACTAATGTTGATGAAATAATATATTTTTTTTTTAGTTTGGAGAAAGTAAATAAAAAAATTAAATTATATTATCAAAAGGTAATTTTTGTGTGTGAGTGTCTGTGTATCAAAAATCTACAGTTAAGTCTATCGCACATGTGATTTTGAAATCTTGTACATAAGAAAGTAGCACATCAAAAACAAATTTTTAAATCTTGAACTTTAAAGATGATTTTTCAAAGAGATTAATTGGCTTATGAAAAATATATATTTATTTGTTAGTAAAGGGTTAAAAACTAAAGGGTAAAAACTAAAATATAAATTATGATTGGATATAATGTTAGACCTGTACTTCATATTTGGTCAAAATTATTCACATAACTGTGTTGAGAATGTGTGCACTGTGCAGTTTAAATTTAATAAAGTTTGTAAATATACGAGTATTTATTTATTGTGGGTCAGCCAATCCAACATGATTGGTTCGTAGTCTATAAAATATAAACTATAAAACCAAATTAATTTTTAATTTTCATTTAAGAACACGAATTTTGTGTTTTAGATTACTCTGGAGTATACCATATGTTTTACTAATTTATTATATACCTTTAATAATTACAAAATATGGAGTTCTGAATGTTCCAGTATATTATTATTTAATCTTGGGTTTTATATTTATGATAAATGAGGTAAGTTTTTAATTGTTTTTGAATAAATACAAAACTGGTTTCGAAAATCGAAATGTGTATAAAAAAATAAAAATAATTTTGATAATAATTTTATTAAATTATCACTGATTTTTTTAAATTTAGCTGTTTAACTCCATTTTTATAATTTCATATACTACCTTCTTCATTAAGATAAGTGATCCTCGATTTGGTGGCACTTATATGACACTATTGAATACTGTTCGAACTTTAGGAACGGTAATGCCTAATACTGTTTTTTTAAAAATGTATGATATTTTAACATTCAAGAAGTGTTCTAACGATAGCCATGATTGCTCTACGATAGATTTTCAAAATGACGTAAGACTTTCTATATTAATTTGATTAATATTTGTTCACAATCGTATTATTAATTTATTTGTTTAAGTATTATATGAGACATATTTTATAATTTGTTTAGATTTGTAATACAAACACAAGCTATAATTGTGTTACAATTGTGGATGGTTACTATGTTGAAGCTGCTATTTGTATGGTGATTGGATTTGTTTGGTATAGCATATGTAGACGTCTTTACAAAAATCTTGAATTAAAAAATCTTTCACATTGGATTGTTAATATGAATAGATGTACTTCAGAAAATATTTAAATTTCATCATTATGTATCATCGAATTAAAAAAAATATAGGTATTTATTACAACTATGATAACATTCTAAAATGCTATTAAATTTTTTTATTAGTATGTTTTATTATGCACAATACATTTTGAATAAGTTATTTTGTCTTTTATTGTTAATGTTTTAAAATTATATAATTTTAATTTATCAGAATAATGTTGATAAATAAGATATTTTTATGGTATTTCTGGTACCTATTACACTAGCACTTAAATAAAAATATAATCTGATTACATAGCTTGTAGGTAAAAATATGCGACATTAGGTTTTACAATTATGTGTGTTTTTAGCAATATGTCAAAATATCCTTGAAGAATAATTATTCTAAAACCAAAATATCTGCGGAAATATAAATCACTTAAATATTAGTTTAAAATTAACCTTATTTATTTTAAAAGTTGTGATTAGTATGTTGCGTGCCAATATCAGGTTCAAGTCCAGGGTGTTATTTTAAATGGAAATTACAACTTTTAAGAACAATAATGTGTTTATTACGTATAAATAAAGTTCATGTAACTGATACAAAAAGTGGCTGAGTGTTGTGTAAGTGTTCAGGTCTCTGTGGCTCTGGTACATCTGCCGTTGTTGCTCTCGGGGCTTCCTTATATATGATTTTGATTCCTTGTTATGATAATTTAAAGCTTTGTAGATTTCCTTGTACTTGTTATTGTAAAAGAGCATCCGCAACTATTCCGTGTTATGATCATAATCAGTATGTGCAACTCCCTAACACGTGTCATGATCATGCTAATACTTATCCTTGATATCTCGTAGCCCATAACAAGTAATATAATAGTTGCTAAGTATCTAACGTGATTATGTGTTAGGTATTAGTTATTTTAATATTTTGATAATGGTAACGTCTTTTATTTAAATAGTAATAATATATTGCATGTGCCATAAGCTAATGGTCTTAATTGAAATTTATCAACTTTTTTTTTTCAATTTTAAAATTGAAATGCTGGAATTTCTTTAAACCTAAAAGGCAATAAAATTATCTATACTTATACTAAGAAAATTTGTTCACTATACACGAAAGGGTGAAAAAATTTTTGAATTTATGCAAACTATAAAAGTAAAAATTGTTTAACAAGATTTTTCACAACTACAGACGATTTATTAAGTTTGTTGATTGATTATTTGGCGTGGATTTTTATGTGTATGTCTATATATAATATATTTTATTAAAATCTGATTTTTTAATTCTGATTAAAAATAAGAACTCGGTTTACCAAATAATTATTGATCATTTCGGGAAAATTGGTTTGTAAATACAATTTTTTTTTGCAAAAATGAATTTATTTCAGTAATACTTATATAAATGTACGTCTTTCTTACTAATCAATGATAGTTGAAACTTAGACTAAAGTTTTGTCAAAATTATAATACAATATTATGTACAAATATGAAAAAAAGTTATGCAGATGAATTTTGATATTTTTAGATTACTGTATGAAAAACTTACTAGGAACTTTGTATTACATTATTTAAGGGTTTTCTTAAAAATAAATATTTTATCATACATACAATAATTAAAAAAATCTTAGTATCTATAAAATAAATAATGAATTTTAATGTTTAAAATCTATTAAAATATCCATTAATTGAATTTATTTATTAATAAGAATTAAGGCTTAAATCATAGTGTATTAGTGTCGTTCACGTATTTTAAACTTTAATATTATTTATGAATTTTAATAATTTGGTAGTTTTATCGTTTCGAAAATTTTAACTTTCATAGTTAGGTTAGTCATTATAATAGTTTTAATTAAATTTTAAGCTAGTTGTTACTGATTTGAATTGGAATAAAGCAATCTAAACCTCTACTCGTGCATTTATTCTATGTATCTAATGCCTATAAATTAACTAGATAATCAGCCCAAAGACAAAATAATATAGGGCAGTATAATTTATGTTTATGTATCAACAAAATTCAATTAATTTGAACTTTGAAGTAATATATTCTGTTTAGGAATATAAAATAAAAAATGTATTGTAACGGTTATATTTTATAATTATAATGTGCATTAGGCATACACGAGCTATTTAGTATATACATGTATATAAGAACAACGTGTATGAGAATATGCTGATTATAGGTATTAAGTCTCCCCGCTTTTTTCTACATTTGTTATTGTAAGGCTATAGTCATATTTTAATATGTGAGAGAACGGCAGTTCTCCGTGATTATTATCTCGCGCATCCGAATTTCCAGACAGTCCTACATTTTGTTAAACTGTGTAGGTAAGTTATAATAAATTGTATATTTTAATTATTATTAAACCAATCTGCAATTATTTGTGATATTAAGAACCATAATACTTTTCGTGTTCCTAAGCTACGGTTATTATATATTAAAAAAAAAACAAACTTCTTCCTCGAACAATATTATATTTAACGAGTCGTCCCTGACCACGTTACAGTATGCTGTTATTTAAAAAAGTAATGACTTAAAAAAAAGATAAAATAGTGAAAATAATTTTTTTTCAAAACCATTATTTTGTATCAATTTAAAAACGGCAATATTTCTTATTTCTTAATAAATTATTTAATTAATAATATTATTGATTATATTATTATGTTTAATTATTAAATATTTTAATTGTATTTGATAAAATTAAAAATTAAAAAATGTTTCCGATATATTTTTATTACATGAATGTTCTCTGTAAAAATAACTTAAGAACTTTGTATTACATTTTTTTAATTTTTTTAAAACATAAATATGTTATCATACATGATATAATATTAATTGGCCTACCTGTTTATTTGATTGTAATTCTAATACCAATTGCAACTTAGACACATTGTACTATCACATAAATTATGCAATAAGTAAATTTATTTTTTCACGCTTTCAAATTAATTCTATTAACTCCACAAAAAACCCATATTTATCTGTCAAAATGTTAACACTAAATATGAATTATACGTATAGCTCTGCTAACATTTAAATTTTTACAGGTAATAAAAAATAGGTAATACTATAATAAATTTTGATTTGTTTACTTGATAAGTTTTCTAGTTATATAAATAATACTCACTAAATTTTAATTATTTAACATTTTTACTTAAATAAGCGTATGTTAAGTACTTAATATTATATTATATTTCACTTTATATCATATGAAAATATAAAATGTACATTTTTATTACTCTAAAATCACTATACTTTACAGAATATTTGTAATTGGAATTTATTCCGTTTTTAATAAATTATAATTATTTGTACATGTTAATTGCATAATTTATAAGATTTTCGGATATGTCCAATAAAACCAAAGTTATTGCAATTATCCGTTTATCGTGAAATACCCTGTATAAAATATACTAATAATTAATATGTAATGTTTTTAGTGGAAAATATATTTTCTTATTATTTTTTTTTTAAGTTTAAACTACGATAAAATTAGGACAATATAGATTTATTTTTTTAAATATGTTATTATTTTTGGCTATATTATTATTCTGTTTGTTGTTAATATTTTTGTTTTTTACTAAAGGTATTGTATTATTTTGAACAATCGATTTTCTTGTGGATTGATCATGAATAAACCTAATAAAAATGAATGTGATTCCGAGGAAGCTGAAAATCTACAAATCCAAAAATCTACCATGACAAACATTCCCAATCTGAAAGGAGATTGGTTAAATTTTTACTTGTTATTATTGTTTTACATTCTGCAAGGATTTCCAGTAGGCTTATCCGGTAGTCTTCCAATCATTTTACAGAGTAGAAAAATGGTGACTTATAAAGAGCAGGTAACTTAACAATTAATATTTTCACGGGACTAAAACTATTACTATTAAATATGAAAGTTGTTTACTTACAAAAAATTATAATATTATAAGTAAAGACCGGATTTATATGTATTTTAAATTGTAAAATTTACATCCAAACATGCACTAAAAAAAGTTAAAATATGCAATACAAAAATGAAATTTGTTAAATTGTAATTTGATTTTTAATCATTAGGTAATATATTGTAAAAAATATTTTATCAAAATTAAATAGTAGATGCATTGGTGTTATAAATAGGAAAAAAGTACGATTTAATGTAGTATGTTAATTGGAAAAACAATAAGTTATCAAAGTATAATAAGATTAAATGAAATAGGTAAAGCCACGTCTCTGCTATAAAACTGGTACAACTAACCTAAAAAGAATTTTAGTATCTTATTTCCAGCGTCCGAATATTCTTTGAGTTGTAAAATATTTGATATTATATAATCGTACCTAAATGTTTTTTTTTTTTTTTTGTTCAACATATTTTTGGATCGTTAAGTGTATATTTGCAGTCTAGTACTGGTTATTTCACGTGTACGCGTTTTCACGTATTCACGTGAAATAAAGATTCGATTTATAAAACCTGTTGTTTAAAATTGCCATGAATTTATAATATTATTCACGTGACCCGTGAAATATTATATTCACGTGAATCCGTGAATTTGTGTATTCACGTATTTTACTGAGTTCTCTACTTTTATTCGTAAAACAAAGATGATTTTACTCATATCATAAATATAGATTAAATTATTTTAATAATAATCAATATCATAAAGTATAAATATTAACTAGATTAAGTATGCTCATCAAATAATAATAATAATAATTAATATTTTACTTTAGAAAAACCTAACCTATAGAGTAACTTAAGACAATTTTATATGAATCGACAATACATAAATAATAACATAATAATAAATTATTATAAATAAACAAACATAAACTATAGAATTGAAACTCTACACATAATATCTAATCTTTCGCCAAAAATATTGTGGTATAACATAATTAAGTTTGATAAAATTTCATTAAAACTTAAAAGATAATAAAGTTAATCGCTAAATTATAAATAAATCTCTAAAAAAAATACGACAAAATGAAGATGATCAGTGTTTAAAACAGGTTTTTGTTATGTAATATAATGTGGACAACCTTCTAGAAATCATTAGTTGAGAATTATTTCTTTTTCTAAAATTTATAATTATTTATTATGATAGAAATAATAAATAATATAAATTTTCATACCAGTTAAAATTATTCATGTGATTAACAAATGCACGTATATTAATTATACGTGTTTTATTTTGTTACATTCACATGTTGACGATATCTGTGTACACGTATGTTTGTATTCATGTAAAATACGATAGATACGTTTTTTTGTTAAAATATGCAATCATATGCAGAATATGCTCTAACGTCAGAATATGCAAAAATATACAGCATACAATTTTGATATTTAATCAATCAATTAATAATTTTTAGACACTAATTGAATGCATGTATATGATGTTGAAAATAGCAACATGCATTTTATGCAAAATCCGGTCTCTGATTATAAGGCATAAAGTGCTATAATTTTATGTGTTAATTTAGGCTCTATTTAGTATTGTGGTTTGGCCTTATGCAGTGAAAGTTTTATTTGCTCCATTAGTGGATTCATTATATTCAAAACGGATTGGTAGAAGAAAATCATGGATGATGCCTATTCAATTTTTAATTGGTATATATTTATGTCATAATATTTTATATTTTACTAAAGTGTAAATTAAAATTTACAAATTTTTTCAGTTAATTTTTAATATGATTTCTGTGTATATTGTATTAATTTAACATATTTTTTAATTGTTTGATTTATTTTATTTTTATCTTTAGTTAAAAAATATTCTGATTATTATAGGGATGATTTTAATGTATACGGCAAACAATATTGATGATTGGTTACCTGAATCAGGTAAATCAAACCTTACTATGATCGCATGTGTGATGTTCGCCATTAATGTCTTGACTGCAATTCAAGATGTTGTTGTTGATGGTTGGTCGTTAACTATATTAAAAAAGTTAGTAGTTTTTAAATACAAATCATAATTGTCAAGACTGTTTATAATACTAAGTTTAAATAAACAAAAAAAGTAAATAAATAATTTAAATCATAACAGGAAAAATACTGGTTAATATAGATAATAATAAGTTGTGTAAAGTGACCTTGTGTGGCGCGGTGGTTGATCTCAGTCATTAATGTGTACTGAGGTCTTAAACATCGGCTGGCATCGCTAGCTCTCGAATGGGTCATCACACAGGTTTTTGAAACATGTTTCAACCTTAAAAAACAAACCTTACAAAAAAATTTTACACAAAAAATCTACAGTTTCTATCTACAATCTACATCTAATGTTTTTAGTTGCAAGACTTGAAATAAGATTAATAAGAAAAAAAAATTATAAGTTGTATTAAGATTTATGTTAGTTACGACATATTTTAAGTAGCCTAAAAATATTATAAAATTGAATATAATTTTTTTTAATAGATTATATATTTTCAATTTTAACATAAATCGTACTTAAACAAGTAATTTTTTGTATTTTAAAGAAACTATGTTAACTTAACATTTAAAATTGTATAATACTGGTATTTGTAAACATTTGTAACGGAATATTTAAAATATATTTTGATGTTTTTGACATTACATATTATTTTTTTTATAAACGTAATGGTCTCTAATTTTATTTAAATATTTAAAATATTTAATTTGGTCAGTTTTTGTTTTGTATTCATAAATCATAATTGTTTATTTTATTTATTATTTTTTAATACGATTTTTCAATGTTATTTAAAATTTTATTTTTGTACAGAAATAACGTGGGTTATGCTTCTATGTGCAATTCTACAGGATTACCAATTGGAATGTTTATTGGTTCAGTTGGCCCGATTTTACTGGTATCCGAAGATTTCAGCAATAAATATTTTCGAGCTATACCTAACACAGGTGGTTTAATAACATTAAAAAGTATGTATAAATACTAAATGTAAGTATGTATTTTATTTACACTTAATTATTATATTTAGTGAATAAAATCATATTTTTTTTTATTCAAATGAGTTTTCTCGTAGTTATCATAATTTATAAGCCATTATCAATCAATATCAGTAGCAGCCATTGTTAACATATAAATTACTCTAAGTTAAAAAAAAACTTGAGAAAAATAAGAGGGAAAGTATTCTAAGTATAACCGATTTGCTGCAGTGCCGGCCCGAGTTATTATAGAGCTCCGGTCAAATTTTTAAAAGGCGCCTTTAAAAATGTAGCTTAAATAATATTTTTATTGTTTTAGACAAATTATTATTGTAGATGATTATATTATTATTAAACACTGTTATTAATTTAGTTAATTCTTTCAGTGCATCTATTATTTGTGAGATTTCATTTTTAACCGCATTAATAAAATCTATTCGATATTCTCATTGAGTCCTCACATAATGGCTTAATAGATAAAGATTTAATGTGTTTTTTTAAGATATACCAATAACCCACTGATGCAGAGAATAACACGTATATTCGTTGAATTGCTCTAAAGAAGTTTTTTGACACAATGGAACAAGAAACACTATTTTCAACTAATAAGTTTAGTAAATAACAACCACATGACATAAAAAAAGCTCAAGAATCGGTTCATGATATTCTTGCTTGTACGCCTTTATTTTTACCCTTCATATTCGCCCCGTTGTTATATCCCTGACATCTACTGTTACTTAATTCTAGTTTACAATTATACATTATTATATAGTCTCATAAATTTTTTCACTAGACGAGTCATTTATTGGTTCAAACATTATAACATTTTTTTTAATGCACATTTCTTATCTACGTCAAAAAACTTTTAAGTCAAAGAAAGTTGTTCAATGTGACTAATGTCCTGAGTACAATTCAACATATTACTATAATATTTAGCTTTTTTAACTCGATCTAGTATATTTTTTCGGTAAGTTTCTAATTATACAAATAACTTCATTTCGAATAATTTTTTCACGATAATGAAAATGTGTTTCATGACATATAACGTGTATATTCATACCTAACCATCGGCGTCAGATAAATTGGTACGGCAATAGTGACAATGATTATAAGTCATTGAGCCCCAAAGGTGTAGTCACGATGCGTGGTAATAATATTGTAATGTATATTATTATATTAGTTCATTATTTCGTTAACTAAAAAAAATTTATAAGTTTTTACAATTTTTTGAATACCAAATGCGTTTCTGGCACCCTTAATCTGGAGGCGCCCCGGGCGACCACCCGGTTCGCCCGCGTCTTGGGCCGGAACTGCTTTGCTGTATACTGTAGGAGTCGAGTACTCGAGTGTATTTCGTCATTGAGTTATTATTTTTAAAATTTCTGAGGATTTTAAATGTTGACCTTTTAAAATTCAAAAGTATTATCTAAATTAAAATGGTTATCAGGAATTAACTTTAAAGTTAAAGATCGAAACATTTTTTCTACTATAGGTCACAAATAGAATTGATAAAAAAAAAAAAAAATCATAAATAACTCAAAATTTACAGTTTATCAATAATTTATACATTAGAACATTAATAAATATCACTTATAGATTGTCATATAAAAGGAATTAGAAAAAAATTATCTCACTAAGTTATTTATGTTTAAAATATTGAAAATTATTTTTCAACAAAATTAAATTAATAAGCTTTAGAAAAATTGTATTTTTCATAGAAATATAATTTATAAGTTCTCATTTTTGTAATTATTTGGGTGATTCTTTTCATTAATATAATAGGATTACTTTTTTAGTGTATAAACCAATTTGTTTAAAGTTAATTTAAGACTATTTCTCACTAATCTTCACTTAATGTTTAAATTACCTTTTTTTTATATATGGTATAATTTTTGAAACTATTTTGAATCTTTTTAAGCTTAACATAAATATTTGATACCCCTTGATTTTTTTAGTTTTTTCTATAAATATTGATAAAACTTTTTTCGCTTGGATAAAAGGTTTAAAACACGCCTTAATACAAAGTTCCTCACAAATAATCAATAGTAAAACTTAATAAATCTAAATAATAAGTAAGCATAAATGTTTTCCATAAACATTTTTAATTAAAATTTTAACAAAATTTGATATTTAAACCAAGAATAACAATTTTAGTTATTTTGTTGTAATTCAAATAATTTTTTGTTTGATTTGAAACTTTTATTACGCATAGCTATTATTATAATTTAATAGATAATTTAATCTTAAAAAATAATATATATTTAATGATAGTATGTAATAATAAAAATAAATAAATGAATAATTACAATCTGTAATATAATTTTTGTACATTAAGTTAATATAATTAACTTAAATAAACAATATATAAAATGAGATAAGAAGAGAGGTCCGCTTGAAAAACAATTTTGAACGGAGACGTTCCATCTCTAAAAGTCATTAGATATTCAGCGTCACCAACAGATATCAATATAATAACCACTATAATTTATAAACAAACGTATAAATTGCTGTAATATTGTTAAAAATGTGTATGTTATACATTTAGAAATATATGAATAGTATTTTTATGAGATGTATCAATAATTATTTGATTTTTTTTTTTATTACCGTTTGATGTTGTTTCTTTATAAAATTTGATTTATCGAGCAGTGAAAAACATTTATCAGGCTCGTAGAGATTAATTTTTTTTTATATCATGTATGATATGATAATTAATTTTATTTAAATTTTAGACACTGTATTATTTTAGTAATGATCTTTATTATAAAAGATTCTTATACAGTGGAATCAAAGTTTTCATACTTCAACGGTGGATCAGAACTTTATTTAAACGAGGATCTAGGAAAATGTTTTTGAGTCTATGACCACTGATACAAGTCATAACGAGAAGTATATATGTTTAAAATACTTAATAAAATACCATTTTATATTTAAATTTTCGTTATTGGTTTTTTTAAATATAATGCGTGTATTATACTGTCATACTGAAATGTATTCAATTACAGTAAAATATAAAAATAAATGTTTTTCTGTATTTTTTTCTAGGTTTTATGTATTTTTGGAGTATTATATTTTTGTTGATTACAACATTGATTGGTTTATTTAAAAAAGAGAAGGATAATAGTTTTGAATTGGACTACAAAAAGATCAGCATTTTTCAAAATTATAAACTATTATGGAACATTTTAAAGAAGCCTAAAATAAAACTGTTGTTAATTGCTTTGCTGACAGCGAGAGTGAGTACTATTCAATTGCATAAAAATATGTTATTATATTTTTTGTAGGCATCAATAATACGTTATAAATATATTATATATTATACTATTATAGTTTGGATTTTCTGCAACCGATGCTGCATCGAATTTTAAATTAATCGATGCTGGGTTATCCAATGATGATATTATGTTAACAGTAACCGGCATGTATGTTGTACGATTTATTGTGCCATTTTTCATACCAAAATCCATTATTGGTCCTAAATGTATAGATCACTATCTTATAATGACACCAATCAAGTAAATAAAATAACACCTTATTAATTAGTTTATGTTATTAATCAGTAAAATGGCAATGTTATAAGATTTATTTATTTTTTAATTGTTATGAACTGTTATTAATTGATTTCAATTTGTGTAAGTAATTATTAAGCCGTATATATAATACTGATGGATAAACTAAACATGCTTGCTATAATGTCTTATTTAATAATGAATTTATTCTAAATTTGATTTTTAGAATCTTTATGTATACTTAAGAGGTATATTTTAAAATACTTAGATTTTTTATATCATATAAGAGGGCCTTCTGTAACAATACTGACAATACAGAACAATTAAAATTGTATTAAATTAAATAACATTTTCATTAAAATGAGTGGTTTTAATGTGTAATACAGAAATTGATATTATCGAAGGAAACTGCTTAAACGATATACAAAATTTAAGTATTTTAAAATCAAGTTATTAAATATGCTTAAAAATAACCGATCTCTCAATAAAAAACAAATTAATTTTGATTAAATTCATTATTGCATGAAAAACTGGAGTATCCTTAGTAAATCTCTATTTATAGCATATATTATAATTTATTATTTTATGGTTCATGTTATTTTATATGAATTTATTGTGTCGTTAGTATTATAATATTATATAATGTTCTATTGATCTAATTACAGTTTGAAACAATAGAATATCATATTATTTAGTTTTAAAAACGTTATTTCACTGGTTTGTGCGTAATTATAGTTGAGACTGTTGAGAGAAAGGTCGTCTTCCCTTAAGTTTCAGAAAATGAATTTTTATTGAAGTACTAATAATTGTAGTACTTCTCTCAAAATATATCTGTAGTAATTTTAATATTCTATTGATGCCTTTTTTATAGAAGTCCCGAAAACTATTATTTTATAGTGTATTAAATGTATAAACATAAGCCAGTAAATACATTTTTTTATTATTATTTACATTACACAAAAGTCATATTATTAAATTAAATTAATGCAGTAAAAAAAAATAAAAAAAATAAATGGTTAATTAATTACGTTTCAGATTGATTTGGTGTATTACGTATATGGTTTTGATTTATTACACACCGAGCTTAATAAATAATAATAAAAATATAAACATTCCCGTTTATTATTATTGCTTATTAGCATCGATTTTTGCAGTGAATGAGGTGAGTATCTACTCATATAAATAGACGTATGTTTCATAATATTTATGTGTATATTATTAAGTAAATTTAACAATTGTTCAAATTGTAGTATTAAGTCGAGGTGAGATGTTGTTTATATTATTATTTGATGATCAGTTTTTGTGATAAATAAACCTTGACATAGGCTAGAAGTAAAAAATGAACTAATCTTGTCTAATAATAGCACCTACAACTAAACAAAAAGAAAATTGAATAATGAATACCAATAAATATTTCGAGAATAACAAACCTATAAACTACAGAATAGGACCAAAATTATTATTTATGTTAATCGGAACAAAATAATGAAAAATTATATGTATTTAGTTATTATTATTTTTATTTTCAGGTGCTGCATTTTTTCATGCTAGTAGCATTATTCGCTTTTTTTAGTCGAATAAGCGATCCAAGGTTTGGCTGTACATACATGGCATTATTTAATACATTTTACTTTCTGGGATGGTTCATACCAAATACTTTGGTTCTAAAATTGAATGATTTTCTAACATTTAGTACATGTTCAAACGACATCCAAAACAATTGTCTTACACCAAATTTAAAAAACGTAAGATATGCTTATTAACAGGTTTTGGGAATTTTAGTACTTATAATTGTTAAAACTAGCGCTTAAAAAAGAACTTGAATACTGCATTATAAACACCGAAATAAGCATTTAAAAATATTAAAATAAGCAAAAAAACTCAATAAAAATAATAACCCAATTTTTTGTTATGACAACGTTTGATTTTTAACAATTTTTAAAACACGAGAAAAATGTCATTTTTTAAAATTTAAAACTATATACAGTAGAAACCGTTTATAATGACATTCAAGGGACTAGTCAAAATTGGTCATAATAACCGATTGTCATTATAACCAAAATGACAAAAATTAAATTAAAAACTCTTTTATATACATGCAATGAACAAAATATTTTATTACAATAACATTTTTAATGTGTTATTATATTATATTTATGTATATAAATCGTAAATTTAATTCATATAGAAAAAAAATAATAATACAATTTTTTAACATTTAATTATTATGTATTTATCAAATAGCTTATAAAGATATACAATATACGTTATTCTACGTATATATAGGTTTTCTTACTTTTCGCTATTAGTGTTTTCGCTGTTAAAATATTTCGCGATTTTTATTTTCGCTATTTTATTTTCACGATTTTGACTTTTAGATACTGTTATAAGACCTTCGATTAAATTAATAAAGTCATTATAGATAAAACCTTTTTCCAATAAAATCAAAAATAACCGTCATAACATCCATATAGTCATTATAATCGATACAAATTAGTATATTATACAATATAGGAGTTTTGTCGGGACTTGCAATCTAAGGTCATTACACCCGGTATGTCATTACAACCGGTGTCATTATAAACGGTTTCTACTGTAGTCCTTTTCCAGTATTTGTGAACATATTAATTTAAGTTGTTATCTTTATAAATTTTCTGAAAAATAAATTTAAATTTATATAAGAATAACCAGAGAAAAGTTAATTAATTTTATAAAAAAATGATTTATTTTTAAATACTTCTTATCTTCTTTATTCCATTGAATAATCAGGTATTTTCTGAAGTTAGATAGAACAATTATTTTTAGTCTTAATTTTATTATGAATACACAAAAATAAAATCAACAATAATTAAAAATTTTAGACTTTCGTCAGTATGGGATATGTAATAATTAAGCAGAGGTATGCATAAAAGCAAAAATTATTAAAAAAACTAGAAAAAAGAAATTTGTCTAAAAACCATCGAAATAAGCAAAAAAAGAGAACTTTTAAATTTCATATTTTGATTCATTGTAACATGATATGAGTTTTTCTAGTACTCTGCTAGATTTTATGTTAAGGCATAAAAATAAGCAAATAATGTTTGAAGTAGAATTAATGTTTAAATGTTTGATTAAATCTATATTTTTTATTTTAAACTGCTAAACGAACATCTAAGGTAATATTTCTACGATTTAGAATTGTTATATAATTATAATATAATATGGTTAACCTACATAATTGTAATTTATACAGGTATGTGCCACAAATGGAGGAAGTTGTAAAGTGTACGTGGACGGCTACTATATAACAGTTATCATATGTGTGATCATTGGATTGATATGGTACTTTTTGTTTAGAAATAAACTTAAAAATTATCAACCAATAAGAGTTAATACGTCATAAATCATTTGACAAAAACAGCGAATAAAAAAAAGCATACTTAAACAATATTTTTAACAACTATAAGTATCAACTATCAAGTATAATCTATGATATTTTAAAATTGATTCAATGAAATTGTTTTATTAAAAATGTTTTTTTTTTTTTTTTGTAATTTATTTTTTGTTGTACAATCTGTAAAATATTTTTTTTACAATAAGTATTTATTGAGACAGTAGTCGTGATCGAAGAAGCCAACCAGTGTTGGGAAAATCAAGCTACAGGTATACGAAAAAAAAACAATATATTTTTTATATGTTGTATGATATGATCATATTATATATTTCTAGTAATAAATATTATTTTATAATATTTAGTATATTTTATTTATACAGCTTGGAAAAATATAATATTTTTCGATTTAAAAAAAAAAAATATAAATGTTATTGAATACATATATTTTATATTACATGTAAATAACATTTATATACAGTGATGTATTGGTAAATAAATTTATGAGTATAAGTACATTGTACACACCTAAAAGTAGTTGAATAGGTATACCTAAAATTTCTCGCTTCACTTGAAGTATCTTAATGCTTATACTTTTCACGTATAAATGTATCAAAGTAAATAACTTTTAACTTGCACACTTTTGAAATTTAATTTTAATAATTTATTTTTTTTAGTTTTTAATGTTATTTACTAAACTATAAATATTTGCATAATTGTGAATTTTTTTTAAGTAAAACCAAAATTGCGATTTTAGTGATAAACAGGATATAAAAAGGTAGATTTTTAGTTTTGAATGTGAGTACTCGTATTCTGTCAATATAAAATTCAGTGGAATAACCACTATGGATGCATACATTTTAAACTTTCATAATATTGATGCTAATATTTAATATTTACACTAAAAAGCATGTACGCTCGGCAATTTTATAATTCCGAATTTCATACAGGGTCGAGGCTATTTTTGAACAGTGTAATAGTGTACTATGTATACACATTACACACACATAATAAAACTGTTGCATTACGAGTACATATTATAATCGCAAATTCTTAGTGTCAGAAAAACCTAACAATTGTATGATACACTTTGAAATCTTAAAAAGATGTTTATATACGTTTAATAGATTCTTATTATTACTATAAATTTAGGCAAAGCTTTGGTTAAATTTATTAGTAAAATTTAAATTGTATATGACCAAATTTTAAAGAAATAGTAATCATGGAAAAATTAACCATAAAAAAATATGGTCGTAAGGAATTAACCAAGATTATGACATTAATACAACCTTTTTAAAATTCGAATTATTTTTTAGAGTTTAGAGTATTTAGTGTTTAGTACTTACATTTTTATTATTTGATTAATAGAATCAAATTTTATTTTAGGTTACAATTGGCACAAGCGATAAATATTTAGGAATACATAAAATGTATAAGGTACATTTTAAAATGTTGAGTATGGTTAATTATGTTTTAAATAGCTTGTAACATCACCGACTGGTTACCTGAATTAAGAAAACCAAATTTAAAAATGTCATCTTATCAAAATATTGTGTTCGATAGTTGGGTTTTAACTATGCTAAAAAAGTGAGTATTGAATATATTTTATAGATACAATTTGATTATAGTATAAATTATAGGAAGTATTACTTTATTTTGAGGCTTATATTTTTAGAAATAATATGAGTTTTTTGTTAACGTGCAGTTCTATAGGAGCATTGTTTGGAATATTTTTTGGTGAAGTCCTGTATCAGAGGAATTCAGCACTAAATATTTTCGAGCTATACTAGGCACAAGAGGACTAACATCTATGAAAAATAAATATCGTGGAAACTTAAAATTAACTTTATTTAGCTTAATGAAATACATAAATATTAATTTATATTATTTAAATAAATTTTTCGTCATCCCTTTTCGGGCTTTTTAATGTTTTAGATTATTTTAGTTGTCCTAGTGAGTAGTGACGTTTTTAGTTGGGATATTTAAAAAGAAAAAGAAAAATCTAGAAGATGATGTTGAAAAGGTCAACGTTTTTCAGAATTATAAACTGTTTTAGAAAATTTTAAAGCTGTCTAATACAAAATGCTTGGAAATAATTTTTTTAGCAAAAAGGGTGAGCAGATATTTTAAATGATAATATTAAGTGTTAAGTGTTAAGGTTGTACAAAAGTATACATAAATACATTTTTCACATTATTCATTATATTTAATAATTATTACAATTAATTAAAATTAATATTTATTTTGCATATTTTTCATTGTATATTAGATTAAATTCATTACAACAGTATCAATATTGAATTTAAAGTTAATTGACGCTGGTTAATCTGAGGATGACGTTGTGATACGTGATTATAATAACAGTGATGTATGTTGTGAAATTTACTAGGTATTCCGATATTTTTATCCAAATATATTACGAGTATTAAACTAATGAGTTAAATTTAAAATGACACCATTAGGTAAATTAAAATAAATCTACGAAACCTCCAGGTTATCATCACTACGTGCTACCGTGGTATTTGAAGTTAAGTCTTAGGTTAGCTTAATATTTTCACGTCAAATATCTGAGTTATTGAGTCTTATATGATATTGAAATAATTTATTTGCATAGTAATATGAAGATTATAAATTATTATTTTATGTTCTAAATTTTCTCAGTACTATAAAATATCTAAATATTTAGATAAGATAATTTATTTCTAAATTTTGCAAGTTATAAATTTAAAATAATATACTTAGATACAATTTTTTAAACTGTTGACTTGTAAATTTGAATTTTATCGACTTGCTAAAAATCGAAGAAAAAACTCTTTAGTTAATATAACATTTTAGAATATTTTTTCAAAATAATCACAAAATTACCTTATTTTTTCCAAAAAAAAATTTCTTGGAATTGTAATGTTACAATTCGACAAATAAAAGTTAATATAAATAATGATAATTGGTTTACAAAGTTTCTTATTTTATTCAAATTAATTCATTTACAAGTAAATTATTACTTATTATCGGGAATAATTATTTAAGAGAAATATGTTTAATTTTATTGTTTTCAAAAAAAGTCAAAAAGGGAAAATAATATGTACCAGGAAAAGTGTTTTAAGCTAATAATAATTTTATGTCTAAAATAGAAAAAAAACACATGAAAAATAGTAAATGAACAACAAATATTTAGAAAAATCTATCATGTGACAAAATACGGCGTTTTAAAGGAAGGTACTAGACTAAAGAATTAGGAGCTGCTATTTATCAATATAAATATAATTTAACATTTTGTAGATGTGACTATGAACAAATACTATTTAAACAGTCAAACTATTAAACGTCCTTTGAATAACTAAATTACGAAATATAAAACAAAAATAACTAGCATATCATCACTTGAATCTCACTTAATCTAATTAATTTGATGTGAAATTCTATAAATACATTTTTAAGGGTCCTCATGGAAATACAGATAAATTATTAAATTATTTTGTACATTTTTTTTTTTTTTTTAATTTGATTCAGTATTCAGTCATAAACTTAACATTGTTATTTTTTTACATCTTAAAAATACTTAATGCATTTTAAATTATTTTGATTTATACTGATAAGCGATAAAAATTAAAATGTTTAAGAACCTTACTTCTGATATTATGATAGATAGTTGTGATAATTCAAATGAATATAAAATATAAATTAAAGTAGTAAAAATAAGTTATAAATATATTGAATAATATTAAATTGATAAATAATATATAAACATTTTAGGACTCTTTGGACTACCGTTAATTTTGTGTCAGCATAACTATTATTATAGGTATCCCACTTTTTACTATTCTATACTTATATATAAATATTATATTTATATCGGTTTTATGATAAATAGAAATATATTAATATATTATTCTATAATAACATTTAAAATTTGGTCATTATTTAACACATTTTACATAGATCCGCCTGAAATATCGAACGTAAATCTTAATTAAAAAATAACCGGTCAAGTAGATTTTCACGTTTTCATATACGTTTTACATATCTACACAATGAGTAATATTTATTGGTATTTAACATAGACCGATGAATTCCGCTCTCCAGCCTATCGTCAAAAACGTTCAATATTTTGGGAGTGTGCGGTTCGGAGCGCACGCGGTGAGCAAAAAGTACTACGAAAATCAACGGCAAGGACAATAAGCTAGCTGTTTCGGTCGCGGGTCACACTCCAAAATCGGGAAAAGTGTACACGCGAAGTGAACGCGAGCGGACGATGACGCGGGCGCCGTTGCAGGGGTTGCCGTTTACCTCGTTATTCGCGCCGCCGCCCTGCAGAATCCTGCGATATCGCGCGCGCAACAGGCGGTCGATCCCTGGCCCGGATTCGATAAACAGTGCACAACGCGTAAACGCAGTCGGTTTCAGTCGCACTCGTCGCCGCCGCCGAACGGTTTGGCTGTTGTCTGGACGCATATCTGCACGGGCGGACGGCTCAGACGCGCGTCGACCGCGTATTGTGCGCGGCGGCGAAGTCCTGATGTGCGACACTGTTTGGGCCGGATGACCGGACGCGCGACCGGATTCTCGTCCGGCGCTCAAACGCAACCGCATCTGCACCCATCTGCCGGCCACGCAACCGTTCGCGTATTTCCCGATCCTAGTACGTTTCAGCGCGGGGGGCGGAGCCAAAACCTCTCTGCATAATGTATACATATTTTTACCGATCCTAATCTAATTCAGCGCGAGGCGCTGAACCCACATAGGGTTCGTAATTATGATATAAACACTTAAAGCAAATATAATATTAAATTATACATAAATTATTTTATTATCAATATTTATATTTATGTTTATTTATCAATATATGTCACATTAATAGATAATATTTGTTATTATTCAAAAAATATAAGTCTAAAAAGTATAAGTATAGATACTTGAAAATTTCACCAGTTAGGGTAGATTGGCATTTTCTTTACATGATTTTATTTTAAAAATATTTATATTTATGAATATATGTCAATATATATATTATATTATAATTAAGCTGTGTTACATGCAGTGTTATTGTAAAAAAAGTGTAAAATGTATAAAAAATCATAGATTATAAAAATAAAAATCACAGGGTATAAAGATAAAAATGTATAATATTAGTGATGTGTTGCATTGAGCTTATTTGCTTGTATATTTGCTCCTAAATTTCTTTTAACTTTCTTTTTTTTTTTTAATTGAATTGTCTCGACTTTAGATGGGCGCCCTGCTTGAATACGTTTTGATCCTTTTGTGAGTCCAGCTCTATCTTTACGACGTGCGATTGCAGTAGGTTGTACGCTTATATTTTTTTTTGTGCTCCGCTTACCCAAATTCACTAAAAGAGTTGATAACTGAGCAGGTGTTTGTATTTTTGCCAAATTAGTATTAGTTTTTTTTAAAAAATTTAACATAGAAAAATCTTTGTTAGTTGTGATTAAATCGCAAATTGAGTTAAAATTATTTTTTAATTTTTGTATTTCAGAATCATATTGTGCATTAATATCCAATATATTATCTTGATCAATGTCGTTTTTTTCAGAAATATTTAAATCAGTTGTATTATTTACATTTGATGCGGTATTCAATTGATTTAAATCAATTAATTTATTTGAGTATGTCATATCACCGAAAAAGGTTTCGTCTAGCTTATTTAAATCACCGAGAGCAAGTTTGGCTAAACTTACTCTATCAATTGTTGATAATAGTGGTGCTGTATCAATATTTGAATATTTTTCATGCACAGCACAAAGGTGCTTACAGAATGCTCCTCCTTGACCTTTAACGCATTCACACATATTAATATCCGAAAAAACAGTATACTTAATTTCTTCATTTGTCGAAGACTTAACTTCGTACATATTAGAAGTGAGTTGAATTATAATTAAATTTTTTGCAGCATTAACAAATTTCGAGTAGCATAGTTGATTTTTTGTAGTACGTTTATTAGTAAAATTTATTAATCGTACTTTATGATATCTTTCAAATACCGTGCTAATAAAATCCGCTAAGGCACACATATTAAATGCTTTACATCTCTCAAGTACAATGTCTTTAAATATTCGAATTGAAGCTTCAACAATATTATTTGTGTTATTCCCTCTTGTTGGCAATTTAGAACGAAAACACAAGCACCATTCCGTATTTCTTTTCCATAATTTTTTCTACGTAATTTAAATAATTAATATATTTTTTTGAACAATTATCCATTTTAAGACTGTCCATTTCTTTAATACATTCATCCTCATTTGTGGCATACATAACTTTTCTAAATATATTTATTAAATGTTTACGATCATTGTTATGGATTTGGTGACTACTGTTCCAAAGCCAGCGCCAAACTGCTTGTAATACATGGAATGCGCATAAAAGCAAGGTTGATTTTGGAAAACATGCTTGCAATGCTTTTCTCTCTGCAATGCTATCGTCTGTCATAATCACGTTTGGTTCACCTCTTCCATTAAATCCATTGGGGCCAATGAGTTTTTTAAGAAGTTCAAATGCTGACATATAATTTTCCTGGCTTTGGCCAGTATGAAGAACCACGCCCATAGGTATGCCCCCAATTTTGGATGACCCAA